AATTCCAACTTCTGCCAATTCAAGTTATACCGCGACCACTAGCCACTGTGATTGGAGAGTATTTGTCCTCACACCCGGCCTGATGTACCTCACTGGATCGGGTCCCATTGGCCTGATGTTTTACGAGCTTGCCTTGTAAACTGGAGGTCCTTGGTTCGAACTCTGGCGGTGGGTGCATATTGGTGAAGAGTTCCAAACTAGGACGAAACAGCTGTCCAGTACTCCCAGGTTTTCCAATGGTTCTCTAACTGATGTCAGCTCATGATGAAAATCCTGTAACCGATCTGCTTAAACTGGATTTACTGGAGGACCCATGGCAATGCCACTGATCTGCTGTTGAATGTGAGGTGTACATTCACAGAGCATCTTACAAGTAGCTCTTTGAGACTAATATTTGGAATATATACAAAACTACGTATGATAGAGTAAAGCCTAAAGGTATAACTGAAAACAACGTTGTTCGCTTATATGTCTTGTTTTAAGTTTAGAGAAACAATGAATTGAGAGAAGAAATAGGTATTTCTCTGCAATTAATTCCTCATCTACAGATCTACATTAATATAAACTTATACAATAAAACTATGTCAGTTTTGTGGCGATGTTACCCACTAAGAACTTCCACCCGAATACTTGCTCATCCCTTTGATACAGGATACTAAATCACCAAATATGCCGAAGAAAATGGAAGTGGTCTAAACACCCGCTGAGGCGACAGTCGAGTGACATCGCGCACTAGGCATAACCCCTAGGGGAACGAATATGGGGACCGATTAGCGTGATATCGAAAAGATGATAGGTTATGGGTGGTCGTCAAGACAGCTAAGGACGACTGCGAAGAACAGGATGAAGTAGAAATGTGCAGTTGAAGCTCTATATTTCACTCGAAACCCACGTGAATAATAATAATAATATATATTCCTCATTATTAGTGAACACTCATCTCATGTGTGTGACTATAGTTGAAACGAAATTCTAACCAGCGCAGGGCTTTACCAGTTGAACCAGGAGACCTAAATGCTGATCACTTCACTATACTTATTATACGTGATGCTCAACTGTTATGCGAATAAATGACAAGACATCAAGGACTTATGCTCAAAACTGTTACGGCCAAGTGTAAGATAAATAATCATCAAAGGTACTACTGATATACTACCTCAAGGTCATCGGAACAGTACTAAAATTGGAATATATATATATATGTATAAGCCATAGATTAAATGACTAACCTTGACCCTTCTCTAACTATGAATAAACAAAGTCATTCATAAACATGGTCAGATAATGCTAAAACTGGTACACATTTCACTACAATAAATAACAAATAATCAATGGAATATGTTAAATCTTTGCGATAGTGGTGGTGGAATGTTCCATATTAGTTTGTTTATTAGGTATATCACACAGTGAAACAGTATTATTTACTGGATGACGTTTCGAACAAAATTTATTGTTCATAATCATATCAATTGTGATCACACGACTTTGACACTTGAGTTTTATAGTTTTCTTTGTTCTCTCCTATTCGTCGTATGGGTAGTAGAATTTTCCAAATATCGGGGACAGGTGATGAATCATTCCTATTACATGTATTTGTAGTTGATTCGATAAACAAAGCTTCTGTTATCAATCTCTCCCTATACCCTGTGACATTAGATTTTAAAACTGTCATCCTATCCCATCCTATTGTATGGTTGTGTGTGACTGCATGTAGTGCTATAGCTGAACTATTCTCTAGATTTCTTATCTTATTCGGGTCAACCAATCTAGATTTTGCTAAGTTTTTATGTTCAGCTAGTCTGACTGCCCCTGTTCTACTAGTTTGACCTATGTATTTGACCTGACAATCATTGCAGGGTATTAGATAAACTAAATTGTTTTGTTTTAAAGGCTCTACAGGATCCTTTAGCCGACAAAGCTTGTTTCTAATTGAGTTTGTGGGTTTGAATGCCGTTTTTATTCCTGCCTTGTTAAGAATTCTGCGTAAGGCTTCCGAGGTTCCTTCCTTGTATGGAATTACTACTGATGATTTAGATTCTTTATTGTTGGTGTCGTCATTAATATTATTATTATTATCACTATCATTATTATTGTTATTATCACTATCACTACTATCATTATTTATTTTATTTTTACTTTTCTTTACATATTTCCTGACTAATTTATCCGGGTAATTATTAAGTTTTAAGGCTTCTTTTATGTGTGCTAGTTCCTGTTTTAGATTTTCTTTGGTACTACTTAATTTTTGTGCTCTGTCATTTAAACATTTCACCAATCCTATTTTTACTGACATAGGATGGGATGATCGGAAGTCCAAATATCTGTTGGAGTGTGTGGGTTTCCTGTAAACACTAGTGTTTACCTTCCCATTTTCTTTCCTCATTACGTTACAATCTAACATTGGGAGCTCCCCTTCCTGATTTTCCAATTCATAAGTGAATTGAATTGCTTCAACCTTAGAGTTGATATGTTCGAAAAATCTATCTACATCTTGTGTTCTAAGTACAGTGAATGTGTCGTCTACGTACCTCCACCATACTTTTGGGGTGGGGGTGAACGTTTTAATCGCTATGCTTTCCCACTTATCCATGAATATATCTGCTACCACTGGGGATATTGGTGATCCCATGGCAACTCCCTCAGTTTGTTTGTATATTTTCCCTTGGAATTTAAATACTGTGGAAGTCAGGCATAGCTGTACTCCCAGCATTATGTCCTCAAGTGGCACTTTTGTCCTAAGTTCGAGTTCTTGGTCAGAAATGAGTTCGTTTCTGACTGCCTCTATAGCCATATTTATTGGTATACGTGTGTATAAACTGACTATGTCAAAACTAACCATTTTTTCTTCATTATCTAATTTTAAATTATCTAATCTACGTTTGAGTTCATAAGAATTAGTTAGTCTAGATTTTGAGTGGATTTTTAGGGGATTTAATACCATGGCTAAATATTTAGATAATTCATAAGTAGGTGAATTTCTAAAATCAACTATAGGCCTAATGGGGTATCCTGACTTATGAACTTTAACAACACCATACATCCTACTGGGGTTATTAGTTTTGGGCATTAAGTTAAACCACTTAGACTCACCTAGAAACGGCTTCATTCGGCGTATAAGATCCGCTGTGGATTTCTTAACTTTATTCATAACTGTATCAATTGGTTTATTAATTTCCTCATATGGTCCTGTTCGTATGTGAGTGTTTACCTTGTCTAAGTAGTCTGATTTGTCTAATACTACCGTTGCATTTCCTTTGTCTGACTTTGTGATCACTATATCCTTGTTATTCTTAAGGTGTTTCAGGGCTTCTAACTCTTGTTTTGTCAGGTTTGGCTTTCCACATTTTTGTCGTTTCAATGTTAGTGCACATTGTGCCCGTACTTCATCAGCCGTAATTTTGTCTATTCCACTTAGTGCTATTTCTATTTTAGGGATGACATCCTCAGGTTTCAGCTTGTCTACAGATACATTGAAATTTAGTCCCTTTTCTAAAACACTTATTTCCGTAGGACTTAATATATGTGTTGAGAGATTGATAACCCACTTTGATTTATCGATCGCCGTTGACTTTTGGTTGTTGACTTCATCATTCTGAGATGTAGATTTCTCTTCTAATAATTTGTTGAACTTTTTGATTTGACTATTTTTTGACTTTTTGAAAGTTGCTGATTTTGCATTGCTGGAGGACTGTGTTATAAGATCATAATCTGTACTGGTAACTATTCCTTTTATCTTTTGTTTTAATTGCTCAATTTCAGATCTGATATGTTGCAACTTTTTTACGATTCTGTGGATTTCTTCTTTCAGGCATAATTTTTGTAGGCCTTCTATTCTGCTTCTAACTCTGTCCGTTGGAACTGGAGCTCGTAGACGTAAATATTTAGGAATGATTTCATTTTTTTGGCATCGAATGTTGAAAATACGATGATTTTCATATCTTGCTTCAGTTTGTGAAAGTCGAGTGAGTTTATTGATAAGTCTTCGTACAGGAAGACCATAAGTCATATTAATATATGTGTAAAACTTGGGCACTGTGGTAGTAAGTAATTCCATATTAGTTTGTTTATTAGGTATATCACACAGTGAAACAGTATTATTTACTGGATGACGTTTCGAACAAAATTTATTGTTCATAATCATATCAATTGTGATCACACGACTTTGACACTTGAGTTTTATAGTTTTCTTTGTTCTCTCCTATTCGTCGTATGGGTAGTAGAATTTTCCAAATATCGGGGACAGGTGATGAATCATTCCTATTACATGTATTTGTAGTTGATTCGATAAACAAAGCTTCTGTTATCAATCTCTCCCTATACCCTGTGACATTAGATTTTAAAACTGTCATCCTATCCCATCCTATTGTATGGTTGTGTGTGACTGCATGTAGTGCTATAGCTGAACTATTCTCTAGATTTCTTATCTTATTCGGGTCAACCAATCTAGATTTTGCTAAGTTTTTATGTTCAGCTAGTCTGACTGCCCCTGTTCTACTAGTTTGACCTATGTATTTGACCTGACAATCATTGCAGGGTATTAGATAAACTAAATTGTTTTGTTTTAAAGGCTCTACAGGATCCTTTAGCTGGGAGTACAGCTATGCCTGACTTCCACAGTATTTAAATTCCAAGGGAAAATATACAAACAAACTGAGGGAGTTGCCATGGGATCACCAATATCCCCAGTGGTAGCAGATATATTCATGGATAAGTGGGAAAGCATAGCGATTAAAACGTTCACCCCCACCCCAAAAGTATGGTGGAGGTACGTAGACGACACATTCACTGTACTTAGAACACAAGATGTAGATAGATTTTTTGAACATATCAACTCTAAGGTTGAAGCAATTCAATTCACTTATGAATTGGAAAATCAGGAAGGGGAGCTCCCAATGTTAGATTGTAACGTAATGAGGAAAGAAAATGGGAAGGTAAACACTAGTGTTTACAGGAAACCCACACACTCCAACAGATATTTGGACTTCCGATCATCCCATCCTATGTCAGTAAAAATAGGATTGGTGAAATGTTTAAATGACAGAGCACAAAAATTAAGTAGTACCAAAGAAAATCTAAAACAGGAACTAGCACACATAAAAGAAGCCTTAAAACTTAATAATTACCCGGATAAATTAGTCAGGAAATATGTAAAGAAAAGTAAAAATAAAATAAATAATGATAGTAGTGATAGTGATAATAACAATAATAATGATAGTGATAATAATAATAATATTAATGACGACACCAACAATAAAGAATCTAAATCATCAGTAGTAATTCCATACAAGGAAGGAACCTCGGAAGCCTTACGCAGAATTCTTAACAAGGCAGGAATAAAAACGGCATTCAAACCCACAAACTCAATTAGAAACAAGCTTTGTCGGCTAAAGGATCCTGTAGAGCCTTTAAAACAAAACAATTTAGTTTATCTAATACCCTGCAATGATTGTCAGGTCAAATACATAGGTCAAACTAGTAGAACAGGGGCAGTCAGACTAGCTGAACATAAAAACTTAGCAAAATCTAGATTGGTTGACCCGAATAAGATAAGAAATCTAGAGAATAGTTCAGCTATAGCACTACATGCAGTCACACACAACCATACAATAGGATGGGATAGGATGACAGTTTTAAAATCTAATGTCACAGGGTATAGGGAGAGATTGATAACAGAAGCTTTGTTTATCGAATCAACTACAAATACATGTAATAGGAATGATTCATCACCTGTCCCCGATATTTGGAAAATTCTACTACCCATACGACGAATAGGAGAGAACAAAGAAAACTATAAAACTCAAGTGTCAAAGTCGTGTGATCACAATTGATATGATTATGAACAATAAATTTTGTTCGAAACGTCATCCAGTAAATAATACTGTTTCACTGTGTGATATACCTAATAAACAAACTAATATGGAATTACTTACTACCACAGTGCCCAAGTTTTACACATATATTAATATGACTTATGGTCTTCCTGTACGAAGACTTATCAATAAACTCACTCGACTTTCACAAACTGAAGCAAGATATGAAAATCATCGTATTTTCAACATTCGATGCCAAAAAAATGAAATCATTCCTAAATATTTACGTCTACGAGCTCCAGTTCCAACGGACAGAGTTAGAAGCAGAATAGAAGGCCTACAAAAATTATGCCTGAAAGAAGAAATCCACAGAATCGTAAAAAAGTTGCAACATATCAGATCTGAAATTGAGCAATTAAAACAAAAGATAAAAGGAATAGTTACCAGTACAGATTATGATCTTATAACACAGTCCTCCAGCAATGCAAAATCAGCAACTTTCAAAAAGTCAAAAAATAGTCAAATCAAAAAGTTCAACAAATTATTAGAAGAGAAATCTACATCTCAGAATGATGAAGTCAACAACCAAAAGTCAACGGCGATCGATAAATCAAAGTGGGTTATCAATCTCTCAACACATATATTAAGTCCTACGGAAATAAGTGTTTTAGAAAAGGGACTAAATTTCAATGTATCTGTAGACAAGCTGAAACCTGAGGATGTCATCCCTAAAATAGAAATAGCACTAAGTGGAATAGACAAAATTACGGCTGATGAAGTACGGGCACAATGTGCACTAACATTGAAACGACAAAAATGTGGAAAGCCAAACCTGACAAAACAAGAGTTAGAAGCCCTGAAACACCTTAAGAATAACAAGGATATAGTGATCACAAAGTCAGACAAAGGAAATGCAACGGTAGTATTAGACAAATCAGACTACTTAGACAAGGTAAACACTCACATACGAACAGGACCATATGAGGAAATTAATAAACCAATTGATACAGTTATGAATAAAGTTAAGAAATCCACAGCGGATCTTATACGCCGAATGAAGCCGTTTCTAGGTGAGTCTAAGTGGTTTAACTTAATGCCCAAAACTAATAACCCCAGTAGGATGTATGGTGTTGTTAAAGTTCATAAGTCAGGATACCCCATTAGGCCTATAGTTGATTTTAGAAATTCACCTACTTATGAATTATCTAAATATTTAGCCATGGTATTAAATCCCCTAAAAATCCACTCAAAATCTAGACTAACTAATTCTTATGAACTCAAACGTAGATTAGATAATTTAAAATTAGATAATGAAGAAAAAATGGTTAGTTTTGACATAGTCAGTTTATACACACGTATACCAATAAATATGGCTATAGAGGCAGTCAGAAACGAACTCATTTCTGACCAAGAACTCGAACTTAGGACAAAAGTGCCACTTGAGGACATAATGCTGGGAGTACAGCTATGCCTGACTTCCACAGTATTTAAATTCCAAGGGAAAATATACAAACAAACTGAGGGAGTTGCCATGGGATCACCAATATCCCCAGTGGTAGCAGATATATTCATGGATAAGTGGGAAAGCATAGCGATTAAAACGTTCACCCCCACCCCAAAAGTATGGTGGAGGTACGTAGACGACACATTCACTGTACTTAGAACACAAGATGTAGATAGATTTTTTGAACATATCAACTCTAAGGTTGAAGCAATTCAATTCACTTATGAATTGGAAAATCAGGAAGGGGAGCTCCCAATGTTAGATTGTAACGTAATGAGGAAAGAAAATGGGAAGGTAAACACTAGTGTTTACAGGAAACCCACACACTCCAACAGATATTTGGACTTCCGATCATCCCATCCTATGTCAGTAAAAATAGGATTGGTGAAATGTTTAAATGACAGAGCACAAAAATTAAGTAGTACCAAAGAAAATCTAAAACAGGAACTAACACACATAAAAGAAGCCTTAAAACTTAATAATTACCCGGATAAATTAGTCAGGAAATATGTAAAGAAAAGTAAAAATAAAATAAATAATGATAGTAGTGATAGTGATAATAACAATAATAATGATAGTGATAATAATAATAATATTAATGACGACACCAACAATAAAGAATCTAAATCATCAGTAGTAATTCCATACAAGGAAGGAACCTCGGAAGCCTTACGCAGAATTCTTAACAAGGCAGGAATAAAAACGGCATTCAAACCCACAAACTCAATTAGAAACAAGCTTTGTCGGCTAAAGGATCCTGTAGAGCCTTTAAAACAAAACAATTTAGTTTATCTAATACCCTGCAATGATTGTCAGGTCAAATACATAGGTCAAACTAGTAGAACAGGGGCAGTCAGACTAGCTGAACATAAAAACTTAGCAAAATCTAGATTGGTTGACCCGAATAAGATAAGAAATCTAGAGAATAGTTCAGCTATAGCACTACATGCAGTCACACACAACCATACAATAGGATGGGATAGGATGACAGTTTTAAAATCTAATGTCACAGGGTATAGGGAGAGATTGATAACAGAAGCTTTGTTTATCGAATCAACTACAAATACATGTAATAGGAATGATTCATCACCTGTCCCCGATATTTGGAAAATTCTACTACCCATACGACGAATAGGAGAGAACAAAGAAAACTATAAAACTCAAGTGTCAAAGTCGTGTGATCACAATTGATATGATTATGAACAATAAATTTTGTTCGAAACGTCATCCAGTAAATAATACTGTTTCACTGTGTGATATACCTAATAAACAAACTAATATGGAATTACTTACTACCACAGTGCCCAAGTTTTACACATATATTTGTGGAATGTTGTTACGAGCAGAATACAATGATAATGTTGTACGCAGATATAATCATGCCAACTAATTGCACTCATTTAACGCTGACCGGAAAACAGATATCTAAATCAGAACAATTATTGGATAATTATATCTTCATATATATATTCAAGAGTTGATTTGTTTTTCGAGTTAGACTACGGATTGATATCAGTTAAAGAACCAGTGGAAATCAGCGAGTACTGGACAGTTTGGGAGTTCTGGTGAGAAGTCGTAACCGGTGAGGTCCATCCAGTTGGGGGTGAGGATGTATCTCCCGCCGATGATTTTGGTTGGTGGTCACGCTAAAAATCACGAATTAGTAGAAGTTAGAATTCGTAGGCCATTGAATTGGGTCCCAGTGGCTCGATGATATACGACCTTGTCTTCTAACTGAGAAGTCCTGGGTTCGAACGCTGGTGGTGTGTGAGTACAGCCGATGAATCACAAACTAGGTTGAAACAGCTGTCCAGTACTTCCTGGTTTTCAATGGTTCTCTAAATGATCTAAATTCCTGGTCTAACTCGATATATATAAATATAAATATGGGGAATAATTCGTCTTAATTGGGATGTATGCTGAGCTAACTAGAGATTGTGTAAAATTATTCTAAAGTGACACGATCAAGTATCAAATGGTATTGATGCTTAACCGCGTACCTTTAGCTTAACCAGTTGACTGAAACGGTGAAGATCAACATCCAATGCTGAATAATAAAGAAAGCTGTAAGCTGTTAGTTTTATGCAAATATTTACGTCGACAAATTCATAGTGAACTTCAGTCTTCAAAAGTACACTCAATATTTTTTTAGAGTAGACGTGATTATTACTTCAAAGTGTGGATGATTTCAGCATGGAAAGATAGAAATCTGGGAATAGGTCACCTTTTATTCATTACGAGATGGTGTACATTTATTTTTTTCACACATTTGAGACACAAGCTCGGTTTTGATTGATGAAATGTGCCACCTTGCTATATGTATACATTCTACGCTTCTAATAACAGTAAGAATTTCTGAAGAGGCAATAATTCAATAGTCATCCTGTTAATAAGGATTTATTCTTTGCACTAATATGCTCATGTGAAGAAAGCATGTAAAAGAAACTTGTTTGTTCGACTGAATGTGTTCAAGATGCTATGACTTTCTCAGAATGGAAACTAATCATATACAATTGCAGATACTATTGAGTCTATTCCGTTTGCTGAAACTGTAGTTTCCACTCCTCGAAATGATCGCAAGCTTATATCTGAGGATAATAGATCCCATACTGAGTGAAATGTTTGTGCACACATTATGACAGCTATTTTTTCACGCACACTTCTGCTCGTCGACATAATGTCAAGTGGACAGAGATGAATCATCAATGAGATTCTAAATAGCAAGAATTTGAGACTATAATATATCCATAAAGTCCGTTACAAAGTACCATTCCCTTACAGTCATATCAGGAAATCGTGCGTATACTTGTGCTCTTGATGCACATGCAATAGGAATGACTCATCACTCATACCGGAAATATGGAAAATACTACTACAAATCGAATCAAGCGATGGAAAATAACGGAATTATATAAACGAAGTTAGAAAGTTGTGTGAGTACCATGATATGATTATGAGCAATAATGAATTGTGCTCGAAACGTCATCAGTAAATATTACTGTATGACAATGTGAGACTTTATCAAAATAAAATTTTACCCATATTGTTCTTGATGCAGTTTATAACGCCCTAATGGAAAAGATAAAAAGCTGATTTCTATTATTCTTAGGCAGCAGAGCACTTGGAGATATCGCAAATGGAGTTTCGATAAGGGCAGATTGAAAGAGAGTAGACAAGTACTGAACCAACCTCCACCTTAGTGTATTACTAGACGTCGATGCTGATAATGTCTTATGAGACTTCAAACAAAAGATATTACAAGCACTTTTCACTTTAAAAAAGGAGATCTAGTGGTTTTCTTCATAGACCTGTCTTCAGGAAACTATACGGAGTGGTTGTCACAAGAATTGTCATTTCTGGATGGATCTCTTTGAGAAGAAATAGTGACCTGATCCACTCCTTATCTTCAAGAATTAAAAGGATCAACTCCAGTGATGCGATGGTTGATGACTCAAACAAGTCCTCAATCAAATGGATACCCTATAAGACCCAACAAGAAAAATATGACAACAGA